TATATAACTTGGGAGAAACTGGAGAGCATTAGGCTGAGTGAACTAGCTCAGTCTCATAAGAACAAATATTGCATAAGACCATTATTATAAAAATAGAAGGATAACTAGTAAGACATGTATGGGGACCAAAGAGGGGAAAGGGTGAGAGCAGAGGGGTGAGGATGGACAGGGGTGAAACCACAGGGTTGCACAATTTGGTGGGTGGAGGGAGAGGGTGATGGAAATGGGAAAGATCCAGTAAGGACCTGAAAAGACAGGGTAATAAAAAATAGGCATAGCCCAGTGGTGATTAATTTTATAAAACATAATGCATGAGAATGATTGTATGGAACACCATGTGAATGAAGAATAGTGTGAAACACACTGTATACAAACTTTTAAGCAAACTAACATAAAATAATTTAAAAATAATGTATGGTAGGACTTGAAAGTATGTTAAGTCCATAAATGTGATTTTTTTTTGAATGTGCGTTTTTTTTTAACTTATAATTGAGATTTGAGTAAAAGTTTATAGAGCACATTAGTTTTCCACTCAACAATTCATGTGCATTGTGTTTTGTGACATTAATTATAATCTCATAATGGAACAGCACTTTTCAATTTCTTTCTGGTGTTTCCCATTTCCTTCCATCCTTCTTTCTTATTCCTTCCTTCCTTCAGAGCTTTATCCCTTTGCAAATACCACTCTTCTGTGTTGATTTTTCTAAGAAATGTGTCCCTCCCTGGTATTGTCTGTGGTTTGGGTGAAAGTTGAGTCTCTTTTTGGTTTTATCAAACCCCAAAACCAAACCCACAGCTTTCAACTTTATTCCATTCAATAGCCATTTTGAAGGATGAGTAGAGCTACCTTACGGAGTTTCTGATGGTGGAAACATTATGGAAGGAGATTCTTACATCTTTCTCACAAGTGGTAGATTCAAACTACCAACCTTTCAGTTAAATAATCACTTAATCACTGTGCCACATTGGACATGCAATTCATTTTTACTAGAAGAGTGTTACAGATGTTTCTTTAAACAAAATGTTACTAATTCATTAGAACTTACTTCAACATTAGAACTGCTTAGAACTGACTTTTCTAAAATTCAGTCAAAAGGTAGTTTATTTCATCTCTGCCCATCCTTACCTCTCTGCTCCCACCCTTTCCCCCCTTTTGACGCCTTCCTTGTTTTACTAGTTATCCCTCTATTTTTATAATAATGATCTTATGCAGTATTTATTCTATGAAGCTGAGTTAGTTCAAATCACAAGGTCACACAATTTGGCAGGTAGAGGTAGAAGGTAAAAGAAATCCAAGAAAAAGAAAGGTGAAAGATCCAGTGGAGACTTAAAAAGATGGGGTAATGGTTGGCATAGTTCAATGGTGACTAATTGTATAAAACACAATGTATGGGAATGATTGAAACACAATGTGAATGAAGGAAAGTGTGAAACACAATGTATGTGAATTTTGTATGTAAATCAATACAAAATATGTTTTTAAAAGGAAGAAGGTAGCTAGCTGAGCAGTTTCAAATATTCTCTGACTGGAGTGGAGTCACTCTGCGGCTTGCTTGCTTCCATCGGTGCACCTCTGTGTTGCTTTTGCTTCAAAGAGCCCCTCCGTTACCCCGAGCCTTTGAAGGCTAGAGTTGAACAGAAACCAGATAGACTGTTGACTCTTAATCTTGTCATATTCTCTACTCTAGCAATATTCTTCTGTAGTTAACTGAAGGATTAGATATGTCATTACTGTTGTTGTGTATCATCGAGTCAGAACCAACCCAAAGCTGACCCTCTGGTGAGTTTTCAGAGGCAATCAATTACACAGGAGGAGATGGCCCATCACTTCAAACCACTGGTGGCCTCAAACAGCATGCTTTCAGGATTGCAGCGCAGCTTCTTGCCACTAGGCCACCAGAGCTCCCTATATAAATGGTATCAATTTTAAACATTTTTACTCACTCCTCCTATCCTGTTCCAGAAAACATTTAACAGAAGTTAGAGAAACAAATCAAATCCAAGAACATAACCTTCTGTGGTGAGACAGAAACTCTTTTAGTGGGATTGTACGATGGTACAACCACTCTGGAAGGCAGTTTGGTGCTTCCTCTAAAAGCTGAACATAGAAATTCCTTATGACCCAGCTATTCCACTGCTTGGAATATACCCCAAGAAAATGAGAACTCGGGCTCAAATGGAAACTTGTACACCAATGTTCATAGCACTATTATTCACCACCGCAAGAACATGGAAACAGCCCACATGTCCAACCACAAATGAGTGGATAGAGAATTAGTGGTACGTTCATACAATGGAATACTATGCAGCATGCAGGAACAATCATTTTGTACATTATTACCGAACTTGGGAGGGACTAGAGAGCATTGTGCTGAGTGAACTCAGTCCCACAAGGACAAATACTGTATAAAACCATTATTGTAGAACGAGTATGAGGATTCAAGGGGAGGGAAGGGTGGAAATAGAGGGGTGAGGATAGAGGAGGGGAGGGTGTTAATCATAGGGTTGCACAATTTGATGGGTGGATGGAGTGAAGGAAACAGGAAGGATCTTTTGTGGAAAACAATGTATTCAAACTTTGTAAATAAATCAGAGTAATAAAAAAATTTTTTTAGAAACCAAACATATCCTTCCATACGTGCCTCTTTGGAGTTTTTAGTGTCCTCTCAGTGCTGATGTCAGCCAGTGTAAAAGATTAGCAATGTTTCCCAGGTCCTAATAGCAGCTTGTCCTGAAGCATCTTTTATCTTAGTTTACAGCAAAGAATTCTATCAAATGTCCACAAGCTACTTCTGCCCTAACAGCCAGGATGGGAGTGTTCAGTCTTGAAATCAGTCAGCCACTTATGCCCTTAGCTATGGTGCATAACAAAGAAGTCACATCAGAACTGATTTCATGTTCAGAGATGGTCAGAGGAGTTAAGCATAAAGATTAAAAGCAGAAACTTTAGAGTCAGTCAGCAGTCAGAGTTTGAATCTCACCATACCTCTAACCAGTTATGGTACCTTAGACAAGTTACTCAATCCCACTATTCCTCATCTGTTTCACCTGTCAGTAAAGAAAGAACAGCAATGGTGCCAACACCTCCTAAACATGTTGTGTGGAATAAGTGAATCAACTATAAAGCACTTAGAACCAGTGTCTGGTACATGGTTCTATCTAGTGCCATTGAGTTGATTTTTTTTTTAGTATCCTCTTTTTTTAAAATTTTATTTTATTAATTTTAATGAACATTTACAGAGATTTTGGATTTCCATTCATTCATTTTTGCACTTTTCTCCCTGCCCCACTCCTCCCTCCCCAGTTCGCTCCTCTCTTTGAAAAGTAAAAGGAAAATTCCTTCATCCCTCACCCTGAGTACACTCCACTATGCAACCTTAATTCTGGACTCTTGTGATAACCATAATACCCAATTATACATTGCTTCTAAATTATTATCTCCCTCATCTGTTTCAATACAGTATACATAATTTATCCAGTTTTTCTCAGTCTTACCCCAACCCTGATGTCATGTACAGCAGCCCTCCACTGGGCTTCTGGGGCTGTAAATATTTATGACTGCTCATCTTTCTCCCTCAGAGAGGCTGGTGGATTCACACCACCAACCCTTTGATTAGCAGGCTAACATGTGCATTATACTACCAAAGCTTCTCCTAGTGAGCACTGATAAATGTTAGCTCTTATTGTTAGTATACTTCATATACTAACAATATTTTTAGGTAAGGAAAGGGAGTACTATAGAAAACAATTAAAGGAAGGCTCATCATTTTCAGAACAAAATTTATTTCTAAAACTTCAGCTCAGTTTGCTTTGGTATCATTGTTGATAAAAAATGATTACAATTGTGACATTAGATAAGAAGATATGTTGATTTTAGCTTCACTGATAACCAGAAACCAACAGTATCCCAATTTTACTGTCTTGTGTGGCTCTGAATACAGCTTTCAAAAATAAAACAACAAAATTCTTTAACATACTCTAATGTAACATTTTGCTTAAGCAAAAACATCTCTTTAGTTTAAGGGTTTTCTGTTTTTTTAAAGGGATGATTAGCACTACTCACCGAGAATATTATTTACAGAGAGGACTCTGAGAAGAGGATCATTTCAAGAGAGAGGTTTAGTTTATCTGGTTTTCATAAGACAGTATCCATAACAGCTTCGCTGTTTGTTGTTTTGTACCAGTGAGTTGGAATGGACCCATAGCTGACCCTCCAGTGGGTTGTCAGAGTCAATTAATCATACAGGAGGAGATGTCCCATCTTCTTCTGTGGAGCAACTGGTGGATTTGAACTGCGTGCCTTTAGGACTGCAGTTCAGCTTCTTACCACATGCCATCAGAGCTCCAATAAATAACACTGGTAAACATTATATATTGTTTATTCTTTATAAACATTATTATTATTATTATTATTTTCTGACCCAGTATCAAGCTGAGAAATCAAGAAGATTCCATCATACATTTCATTTATTTGATTTGCTGGCTCATAAACTGTTGTTCCATATTTAAAGTAATCACCATTATAACATGACAAACAGTATCCATGGTAACTTTCCAGACTATTTTTCACAAGCCCTGTTAATACTGAGTTAAACTGAATCTATAGTCCTTGATGCAGGTATAAGTACTGGTAGTCTCTTTCACGGGAAAGTAAAATTAATGGTATCTGGTATCAAGTTGTAAGACAAACTCAGATTAGGAGATAGCTGAGTGACACAGAAAATACACGGTCTTCCACCTGAATTTAAGAATGCACTTAAAATGGCAAGAGGTAAGGAAAAGGAAGAAGCAGACAGATGAGAAGAGGACGAACATTGGCTCAAAATACATGGAGGTAATGAATTCAAGAGAGCAAATAAATAAATGAATAAAGTCTCCATTTCTGCTTTAAAAAAAATATCACTAGTAAATCCTTACTGACGCTTTTAAAGCTAATCCATTGGCACATATTTTAAATAGGAAAGGCACTTGAACTTTTGTGTGCATCCTAACTGCGCGGCTCATCGAATGCATTCCTCTGCGGAGAGGTCTAACACGTCTTCATCCGCGTTCTCTTCTATCTCTGGCAAGTTGCCCCAGAGCAAGATGTTTACACCTGGAAAGGAAAAGCCATAACATCACTTAGTGCTGGTTAGTGTTGCAACTCAGAACACGAGCTATAAAATCTTACATATTAGCATTTTTATATGAAGTCATAATTATTAGCAGGTAAGAAAAGCTATTAAAGAATGCATTACAAATATGATTATCTAATTAAATTAGTACTCATCTTACCAAACTCTCATTCACTGCCCGCTGAGTAAAAACTGACTCATAGGTGACCCTCTAATGGGTTTCTGAGGCTGCACATTTCAGGGGAAGAGAATGACTTTCTCCCTTGAGGAGCTACTGGCAGCTTCAAACTACCAGAGAGGTGTGCCCTTTGGGGTAGCAGTGACATTCCCTGCAGAAAATATTACCAGAGTGTCCTTAATATTCACCTAGGACCAAAAAAAGTTGTTAAATTGTTTTTAGGAAAAGTTTATATATAAAATCTTAGAACCCCAAATGATCAGTCCACTCACTAACCATTTACTTTATAAATAATAATTTTCACTTATATGAAAATGAAAGTGATTCATTTTTTGAGACCTGAGGCACAATTGAGAGACTTGTACACTAATGTTCACAGAAGCATTATTCACCATTGTAAGACACAACCTTCCTTGTTGAAACTGAGGAGGGCCTGAGGTACTTGCTGTGGAAGGTTAGGGACTGCAGTCCTCAGTATGGATTGAGGCTCAATATCAAGAAAATAAAATTCTCACCACTAGGCCGATTGGCAGCATCATGATGGATGGTGAAGAGATTGAGATTGTAAACAGTTTTAGTTTGCTTGGCTCCACAGTCAACACTCTTGGTACCAGCAGCCAGGAAATTAAAAGATGCATTGTGATGGGAAATTCTGCCGTTAGAGTCCTCTCTAAAGTACTGAAGAGCAACAATGTCAGTATGGAGACTAAGGTGCGCCTGAAACATGCCATGGTCTTTGCAATCACTTACTATGCATCAGAGAGCTGGACAATGACTAGGGATGATAGAAGGAGAATTTATGCCTTTGAGCTTTGATTTTGGAGAAGAGTATTGAATATATCATGGACCGCTAAGAAAATGAACAGGTTTGTCCTGGAGAGGGTGAAGCTGGGCTGCTCCTTGGAGGCAAGGATTTGGAAGCTTCCTCTGACATACTTTGGACATGTTGCAAGGAGGGACCAGTCCTTGGAGAGGGACATCATGCTTGGGAGAGTGGAGGGACAGCACAGGAGAGGAAGACCCTCAATGAGATGGATTGATTCAGTGATTGGGGTAATGGGTGTAGGTGTTTCAGAGACAGTGAAATTGGCACAGGATAGGGCAGAGTTTAGTGCTATTGTACATAGGGTTGCTATGAATCGCAGGTGACTGGATGACACATAACAACAATCAGAACATGGAAACAGACCAAATGGCCAACAATAATGAAATGGGTTGAAAAATTACAGTACATTCACACAATGGAATACTACACAGCACACAGGAGCAATGATTTTGGAAATCACTACCTAACCTGGGAGGGACTGGAGAACATTATGAGGAGTGAACTAACTCAGTCCCATAAGGACAAATACTGTCTAAGACCATTATTGTAGAACATGTATGAGGATCCAAGGGGGGTAGGGGGGGAAGCAGAGGGGTGAGGATGGGCAGAGGGGTAATCATAGGTTCGCACAATTTGTTGACTGGAGGGAGGAGTGGGTAAAGAAAATGGGAAAGATCAGGTGTGAAAAACAATGTATACAAACTTTGTTAAGTTTTCTTAAAAATGTGATCATTTTATAGTCTATTTTCATGATCTTAAGGGATGAATATTTCATAAGATTGTTTTAATCATGTGGGGTTTTTTAGCATGCAGGGGAAGGACTTTGAGTAAGTCTTCTCATTTCCTCACTAAAAATAGAGTAGCTAGTGCCCTTCCTTTTTTTTTTTGTTCTTTTAAAGTTTCAGACCAGCTATATTATGAACTGCAATCCTTGATATGGGTAGGTTATAGCCTAAAATAAAGGAAGCCTATTAAGGGAGAGTTGCCAGCTTTAGGATCAATTTATAGAAGCCAATACAATAACCACATAACAATCTAAAATCTCATTGAGAAAAGAAAGTCAAATTTCACACAAAAGGGACTCATCACAGGTATCCAATATACTATCAAGCAAAGGAATATGAGATAATCTTTGCTCTGTACATACATACTACAGGTAACTCTTGCGGATATTACGGGTTCAGTTCCATATCACTAAAAGGAAGCAAGTATCCCAATAAAGTGAATTAAGTGAATGTTTTGGTTTCCCAACGTGTATAGAAGTTATGGTTACTTTATACTATAGACTATTCATGGAGCCCTGGAGGCATAGTTCTTTATATGTTGGACTGCTCTCTGAAAGGTTTGAAGTTTGAAAGGCTCTCTGATCTGAATCTACCAGTCATTGATCAGAATAAAGATAGGCAGCCTCCTCTTGTATAGATTTACATCCTGGGAAACTCAATGGTCATCATGAGTTTAAACTGACGCCATGGCAGAGGGTTGGGGTACTCTATAAACGTGCTATAGTATAATGGGAAGTTTGAAATGTGGCGAGAATGAACAGAATGTGACTCTGAGCGTGTCACAGAATGTGAGCGGGTTCTGTTGGAAAAACAGCGCTGAAGACTTGCTCTGGGAAAGGATTGCCACAAACCTTCAACTTGTAAAACACATTATCTGTGAAGGATAATAAAGCAAAGAGCAATAAAGGAAGTAGGCCTATATGATACAAACTGGAAAACAAATACAAAAACACACCAAAAATGAAAACACATCCACTTCCAGTAAGTTGATTCTGACTCATGGTGACCCTACATTGGGTTTCTGAGGCTATGACTCTCATTTTTTTAGGCCATAAATCTTTATGGCAGGAGACTGCTCATCTTTCTTCCCCTGAGCAGCTAGGTCTGAACCGACACTAATGAGTCAGCAGTGTAACATGTAATGTATTATATACCACGAGGGCTTCGTCAGAAAAGATTAAATGATAATAAATGGGAAAGATTGTATGAGACATGAAGTGAATGAGGCATAGGGTGAAATACAATGTATAGGAACTTTGTAAGCAAACCAATGTTGTTGTTGTTGTTAAGGGCCATTGAGTCGTATGCAACTCATAGCGACCCTATGAACGAAAGATCTGAATGCTTATATAACTTCCATTCTTTCTCCAAGTTCATTGGGTTTTTGGAGGCAAGCTATTTTGGAAGGGGATGCCACTCCTGCTTCCAATATAAAATAAAAATTTTATGTTTTAAAAAAGAGTAAATTATTAACTGACCTGTAAGAAAGCCAATGAAGTTCAACAAGAAAAACTGTTCAACTGTCAATCTTGGCTCAAGGAGGATTCAGTGACTCTGGCCACCCTTCTTTGTACACTGAGATAGCATCAATGTGGTGGAATGAAGTACATCAGGGTTTGGAGATTACAGAAATGCAGTTTTAACCAATACTAGTACACCAGGGAATTTTTTTTTCCTACTGTAAATATATGCACCTTTCAATTATATATATTGCTTCACATAATTATTTTACAAAATTATGCTATCTGTATCTTTTATTATATTAACATATCTTTTCTGATTTCGGGGTGTTTTTTAATTTGATACTAGGTTTTTAAAGCTTACTAATGTTGATAGGATGGTGAAGCTTCATCTCACATAGTTTGGGCATATTAATAGAAGGGGCTATTCCTTGGAAAGGGACATAGTGTCAAGAAAAGTGAGAGACAATACTCAGGAGCAAGGATTTAGAAAATTACTACCTAAGTTGGGAGAGACTACAGAGCATTATGCCATATGAGCTAAATCAGTTTCATAAGGACAAATACTGCATAAGACCATTATTGTAAAAACAGTAGGATAACTAATAAAACTTGTATGGGGACCCAAAGGAGGAAGAGGTGAGAGCAGAGGGGAGAGAATGGGTAAAGGTGAGATCACAATGTGGCACAATTTGGTGGGTGGAGGGAAACATCCTGAGGGGACCTGAAAAGACGAGGTAATGGAGGGCATAATTCAATGGGGATTAAGTTTATAAAACATAATGTATTGGCAAGACTGAAAGAAAAAAAGAAAGGTGGGAGATCAGTGAAAGAGAGGAAGACCCTTAATGAGATGGATTGACATGGGACTGCAGCAATGGGTTTGAGTTTGTCAGAGCTGATGCACAGGATGGGACAGGGTTCAGATCTGTTGTTCATAGTGTCACACTCAAATCGATGGCGCCTTACAACAACAAGAACAAGTTGCTATGTGTAGCCTTAGCTCATTTGCCTCACGTCTTTCTTTTCTGTAGAGTATTTTGTTATTAGGGTTGGGTAGGGGGAGAAGCATTTTGCAAATGCAGCCTATCACTCATCCTTCCCTCTAACTGTTCATCTGGAACAGAGGCCCAAGGAGAGATACACAAGGATGTGCACAGAGAGAAACCATCAATAATCTCTGCTGATAGAAATAATGGAGTTTAATCAGGCAAGAAGTTAGCATCTATTTGATGCTACTGAGAACAGAGCTGGTCCTTACATAATTTTCTGATTTTGTGTACTTAGATTGATTTTAATAATAATAATAATAATAATAAATAATAAATAATAATAATAATAAAAAAGATAGTCTTTTCTTTTCCCCTCAAGAATGAATGGGGTTCTGCCTTTGGTGGTATCGTAGAACTGACAGGAGAGCAAGGAAAATCAGAACCCCCTCAAGCCAAATGGATCACTGAAGCCATTCGACCATGAAGGCATTTGCCAATATCAGGGAATAAGTGGAAGTTTTCAAAGCCTCCCTAGGAAAATTTTTGGAAATCAGGTGTGAATGTGATTAGCCTGGAACACAGGCTTAATGGGGCGCTGTGCAGTTTAAAGAGTCTACAATTTTACAGACCTTGTATGTGTATTCTCTTACTGCGGCTGATCCAAGAGACACGTAGAGAGAGTGCTAACGAAACTAGGAACCCTCTTCTGCAGTAAGCACCTAGAATATCTCACTTTCAATTACATTTCTTAGGGTTACATTAAAGAAGAAGTGTGGTATTCTTAGAGTCAATACTCAGAGATATGAAGCAGCCCAGTACAATTGGTTCAAAGGAGAAAAAATAAACGAAAAGATTGGATCTGACAGAGGCAGTACCTTCCTTTCTCTGTTAAGTAGGGAGGAAGGAAATCCTGTGATACATCTGTTTCTCAAGGATTAGATTCACTGCAAATGGAAGAATGCGGGGCTTTTATCCTTTAAAAATTTACCCATATTAAAAAATAAATCAAAACTGGACAATCTCCACCCTGTGTTTTGAATGCTGTAACGCAGGAAAAATAGGATCAAAGCAGACAGTTCCTTTAATGTATCTCATAAGCAACACAAATATAAAACTGAAGGCCTGCGTTAAGAGTCTGTATCCCCTTCAGGAGGGAGTTCTGAGATAGGCCATAGAGAGCTGGACCCCTAACTCGAAGGCTATGCTTCTCTGGTGCTTTGGATCCACCAGCCACTCCTCAGGGGAAAGATGAGCTGTGCTATTTACAGTCCGTAAGATCTATAGCCATGAAAACTCGATGCAGGGTCAGCTATGAGTAGGATACAACTCAACAGCAAGGAGAAAGAGAGATACCACTCACAAGCATCCAGATAAGGTTGTCCTTACTAAAAATGACTTCTAGCACAGTAGGGTCTTAAATTAAGACCTCACATCACAGATTGACAATCACAGTTGAATCTAACACACAGATTTAAAAAAATTATAATCTATATACACACAAACATAACTGAGTATTTACAGATCCTAAGTTCATAATTCTGAACTCTACAAAGGCAAAGCATACTTGGAGGGGAAAAATGCACGTACTTTTGGTTACAAAGACCAAAGAACTTATTTAAAAGCTTGAGGGTGTTAGTGTCTCCTTAAACTGTCAAGGTCTTAAAAGTCACCTTGTGGTGTTGTTAAGTTGTTGAGGTTGTTAAGTTGCGGTTGTTGTTAAGGTGGTTAAGTACGACTCAGACTCATAGCGACCTTGTGAACAAAAGATAAGAACCCTGTTCTATCCTGCACCATCCTCACACTTCCTGACACACAAGAGCACATTGCAGCAGTCACCACATCAGTCCACCTGGTTGAGGGTCTTCCTTCCTTCTCTGACCCTCCACCTTTCCCAGCATCACATCCCTCTCCAAGAAATAGCCCCTCCTAGCAACATGTCTAAAGTATGTGAGGTGAAGCCTCATCATTCTTGCCTCCAAAGAGCACTCAGGCTGTTGTTTCTCTAAGTTTATAGCTGTTTTTCTCTTGGCCGGCCATAGGATGTTCAGTGCTCTTCTCCAACACCACAGCTCAAAGGTGTCAATTCTTTCCCTGTCCTCATTATTCATTCTTATCAAGTAATCAGAAAGACTATGGCCTGAATTAGATGAACCTTACTTACACAGTAAGACCATTCTTCTACTACTCAATGATTTGGAAAGGCACCTAAGTGCAAATTTTCCCAGTGCAATACATTTCCTTATTTCCTGACTGCTGGTACCAAGGGTTTTAATTCATATTGTGTGTCATACAAAATAACTCCCATACATTGTGTCTTATAAATTTATTGCCCATAAATTATGCCCTCCATTTCTTTTCAGGTCCCTGCCAGATCTTTCCCATTTCCTTTACCCTCCTTCTCTCCACCCACCAAATAGCTCCCATGATTTCCTCTCTGCCCATCCTCACCCCTCTATTTGGGTCCCCATATATGTTTTACTAGGTATCCTTCTATTTTTACAATAATGGTCTTATGCAGTATATAAGACTGAGTTAGTTCACTCAGCATAATGCTTTCCAGTCTCTCCCAAGGTATAATTTTCAAAATCTTGCTCCTGAGTGCTGTGTAATATTCCATTATGTGAGTATACCATACTTTCTCAATCCATTAGATTGTGGTTAGATATCTGGGCTTTTCCATGTTCTTGCAATTATGAATAATGCTGCTATAAACATCGGTGTGTGATTGTCTGTGTCTTAGTTCTAATGTCCTTGGGGTATATTCCTAGTAGTGGGATAGCTGAGTCATATAGAGTTTCTATGTTCAGCTTTTTGAAAAAATGCCAAATTGCCTTCCAGAGTGGTTGTACCATTTTACAATCCCATCAACAGTGTATGAGACTTCCTATCTCTTCACATCTTCTCCAATATTTACTTCTTGCTGTCCTGTTAACTTTGCCACTTCTTCTGGGGTAAGATGGTATCTCATTGCGGTTTTGATTTGCATCACCCCTTTTATTGTCAGTGATTTTGAGCATTTCTTCATGTGTTTGCTGGCCATTCAAGTATCTTCCTTTGTGGAAATTCTTTCCCTGTCTTTTGTACATTTTGTAATTGGGTTATTCATCTTTTTCTTGTGGAGGTTCTGTTGTATTCTGTAAATTTTGCTATGAGACCCTTATCTGAGGTGGTATTACCAAATGTTTTTTCCCAGTCAGTAGGTTTTCTTTTCACTCAGTTGGAAAATATTTTTGATGATCACAGGGATTTAATTTTTAGAAGGTCCCGTTCATCAATTTTATCCTCTCCTGGTTGTGTATTTCTGGCTGTGTCAGCCTCCTTATATCATAGGCTAGGCCTTCTAAGCTTGGTCCCAATTTGTCTTTTATGATCTTATGGTTTGGGACCTTACCCCTAGGTCTCTTATTCACCTTGAGTTGATTTTTATGTATGGTGTAAGGTATGGACCCTGTTTCTGCTTTCTGCAGGCAGCAGTCCAATTTTGCCAGCATCATTTGTTGAAGAGGTTATCATTTCTCCATTTGAAAGGTTTTACTTCCTTGTCGAATATCAATGGACCATAGATAGATGGGTTAACTTCTGAGTTCTTGATTCTGTTCCATTGATCTATGTGCCTGTCATTGTACCAGTACTATAATGTTTTAGTTATTACAGCTGTGTAATAGGTTTTGAGATCAGAGTGCTATGCCTTCCGCTTCATTCTTGATTTTTAGAAGTTCCTTGCTTATTTGGGATTTCTTAATAAATTTGACAGCTACCTTTTCTGTCTCTTTGAAAACTGAACTTGGTATCTGTATTAGTATTGCATTAAATACGTAGATTGCTTTCGGTAGGACTCTCACGCCATTCTGAGCCTTCCTATCCATGAACAGGGAACATTTTCCCATTTATTTAAGTATTTTATTATTCCTCACAGAAGTGGTTTTTTTTTAAAAAAATTTATTTATTTATTTTATGTGTGTACCATCAAATTGGATCTGACTGGTACAGGAGGCGATTGTTCCTCCCTCTTCAGCAGAGCATCTGGTGGATTTGAACCGCGTACCTCTGAGATTGCAGTGCAGTTTCCTGCCACTAGGCCACCAGAGCTCACCAGAAGTGTTTTATAGGGTTTTTTGTAAAGGTCTTTGAGTCTCTAGTTAGGTTTATTTCCAAGTATCTCAATTCGTGGTTGGCTACGGTAAAACGATACTTCTTCTTATTTTCCTTCTCTGTGCTTTTTTTGTTACTGTAGAGGAATCCCACTTCTAGTACCTCCTACACAATTTTCTCAGTGATTTCCTTATCTCTCTCATGTTCTGGAATTCTAATCATATGTATGTTGTTCCTTCTGATGTCTTCCCACATGATTCTAATATTTTCTTCATTTTATTTACTTTTCATCTCTGATTTTTCTTCTAGTGTGTTGTCTTTCAGCTCTTTGACTCTGTGTTCCATTTCTCCTGTTCTATTCTGAATTACATTTTCATACATTTCTATTATTTCCAGCGCTGTGTATGCTGTACCCTGTCTGTCTTGTGATGATTTTTTAAGTTCTTGTACATCTTTATCTATAGTTTCAATTCTTTCTTCCATCTTTTGTATTTTCCTCCATAGTTGTTCAAGTTGTTCCTCATCAGTATATTTCTTCTGCTTCTCTGTCTCTGGAGTATTTGCTTTCTTAATGGCTTCCACTGTTTCTTCCATCATTTGCATCTTCTTCTGCAGTTGTTCAAACAGCTCTGCACCAACACATTTCTTCCGGTGGTCTGTGTCTGGGTTATTTATTAGGTCTACAATACATTCTGCTTTTTAAAAGAAAGGTTATTTTGTTTTTTCATAATCTTTGAATCTGTCTGCTGCTTTCCTGACATTTTGCAAATCTTTTCTTGGTAGATGTTAGGCTGTTATAATTGTGGAATGTCCTGGGGAGAGTGATGCTCTCTCCAGGACCTGTATATTGGTGCTCCCCTTTTGGCTTGAAGACCTGAAAGGGAGTGAGTGTTGTTCTCTGGAAAACCAGGGTGAATCCACTCCTGTTCCCTTTGGTTTAAGAAATCCTATGTCTTCTCAATGTGTGGCAGTCAGGAAGATTCAAGGGCGGAAATAAGTACCTGGATCAGAGAGCACAGGGAGGTATTGTCCTCTGGAAAACTGCAGTGGTCCACTCCTGTTCCCTTTGGCTTATGTCATCCCAGGTCTTCACTTTATGTTGCAGTCAAGGAGGTTCAAGGGTGGAAGTGAAGTTTGACCTCTTAAATACAGTGATGAACATAGAAGTGGTAATGAATTTTAGCTAATAATGTTCATAAGATAATGTCTGCAAGGGGAGGGAGTGAGGGGGGAAGTCACTGAAGTTTCACTCTAACTGATGCAACCCAGCTGAGAGAGGGGAAACCAGAAATTATTTACTGGGAACTTCATTTAGGTCTCAATAGAGAAAATTTAGAGGGATGTCTGAGTCTTTTCTTACCAGTAGAGTCTAGTCTGTTAATACCATAGACTGCTTGGCTGTGAAACATCCAGAAGTGTCCATTATTGCAGGAGAGAAGGCAGGTACTACATGGAACAATCACATGATATCCTACGATGTTCCCGCTGAAAAGGAAAGTGAATTCTATTAGATGCCATGACACCTGACCATATAAACATTTTTGTGTACTCATGGAAATAGCTAATCTATAGAATTCAGAATTTATTTTTTCCTAACAACTTCCATAGTTGAAGTCTTTGGAATAGGAATGACTCTGTAAATGGTTTCAGGTTTACCATTAGATGAGAAAAAAACCATTCTTTAAGTTCAGTGAAATAACACTATCACCTCCTTGCACTTCTTTGCTAGTAATATTTTATGCACTCTTCACTCAGAAGCTAGCTTCTGGATACCACAAGGTTGTAACTTTTTCCTTAAAGCACCCGATCTTGATTTTTATCCAGCCCTACAGGTAGCCGGCTTGTGCTCTGGTAAGTTGGTTAGTTTAATGTTCTAGCTCCATGCCAGCACCTAAAAACTCTCCCAACAGATGGAGGAGTAGGAAGACAGCATGCGTCCCTGTAAACCAAACACAAGCTGGTGGCTCTAATTTTAGTTTCCGTGTTTTTGCAGAAATTCAGAAAGAAAGCAAATCCATGGACTCTAGAGGAAGTTGGAAAAGTTTTGAGTGTCTTCAATAATATGCACTGATTAGAAGTACTTGACTCTCACATAGATCATTTCATTTGGCCACATAGTAAATAGTGTGGATACAAGGAGAATGGTTTAGTTAGTACCTTTAAGAAACAAAAATGGTAACATGAACTCTTTATACCTTGAGTTGTAAAAATTCTTATTATAGCTTGGTCCCACCCTGTAAGTTGTGGGAGTCAGTCATTTTTGTGAGGCCCTATAAAGAATACTATAAAAGGTACCAGCCCACCTAAAATATGTCTTCTAATCATAACCTGCTTGAAGGACAAACAAATGAAAATAGAAGTTGTTCTTGGACTAGGACTGGCAGTTATTTGAAAAACTGTATTACAAAAGTCAATTCCAGGGCTTTAATTACAAGCTGGAGTCTTTCATTCTTTCACTTACTCATTCATTCAACTCTTTACTGATTGTCTACCATGTGCCAAGCACTGCTCTAGGTATTAGGTATGTAAGAGCAACAATAAATGAAATGTAACTACTGCCATCAATCAATGCTTAGCAACTCATGGCGACCCTGTAGATTATAACTTATAGAGACCCTGTAAGAGAAAGGAGATTATAACTCATAGCAACCCTGAAGAGAGAGAGTAGAAAAAGACCTAGAGGGTTTCTAATGCTGTAAATATTTATGGAAGCAGTAAATATTCATGGAAGCAGACTGCCGTATTTTTGTTCTATATAGGGGCAGGTGGGTTTGAACTACCAACCATTCTGTTAGCAGCGATGTGAGTAACCACTTTGCCACCGGGTTATTTTGCTAGATAGGGATAAAGCTAAGGACAAAATTAAAATTTTGCTCATGGAGATGACATTCTTGTTATGTGACACATTGGATCACTTTGCTCACTTCAGTGACCTCAGTGTCAAAACAAAAACAAAAACAACTCCCTACCAAGGTCCAAGCCACTCACTGAATGTGGCTGCTGAGCACTTAAAATGTTGGGAGTCAACAAGGAGCCATGTCGTTAAGTGTGAAATGTACGCCACCTTTTGAAAACCAAGAGCTACAAATAGAATATATACTATTTCATTCACAAACGAATGGATTGAGAAATTATGATACATTCACACAATGGAATACTATGCAGCACGGAAAAGCAATAATTTCATAAATTATTGTCTAACTTGGGAGGGACTGGAGAGCATTGTGCTGAGTGAACTAACACAGTCCCACAAGGATAAATATTATATAAAACCATTATTGTAGAATGAGTATAAGGATCCAGAAGGGGTGGGAGAGGCTGTAAGCAGAGGAATGTGGATGTGCAGGGGGAGGGGAGGATTAATCATTGGGTTGTACAATTTTTTGGGTGAGGGGGTGAGGAAAATTGAAAGAATTTCTTCGAATACGTATTTGAGTTTTGTAAATAAACTAGTAAAAAAAATTTTTTTAATGTTGGTCTCTGGAGAAAGACATCATACTTGGTGAAGGAGAGGGGCTGTAAAAAAAAAAAGCGGAGGATCCTCAATGAGATGGATTGAGCCAGGCACAGTAGCAATTGTGCAGACACTGTCTCGGTCTATCATATCTAAGGTCTACGTGAATCGGAAGCCAACTCACTAGACAACACATCACAAGAAGTGGAAATTATTACAATTTGGATATACAAGTATTCCCTACCTCATGCCACTTCTATGAAAGATCTATTTTAGTATTTGTTTTTACTAATCAGAAGAAATTAAAAAAAAAGATTTTTGCTTTGATGGATGAAAATTACAACTAGTGTTAAGCGTGTGTTTTATGATGAGCTGTGAAAGGCAGCAGTGAGGGATACAAGGCCAAGCTCCTTCCCCAGGAAGTACATTCTACACACATACAAACACACATGCATCATTTCTACTTTACATTGTTGCTTACGGAGCTTGACGCTATGATGGCTAACAAAAAGCATCCCAGGAGTACTCTACTTTTGAATAATGAGATAAACTTGTATGGGGTTAAATAAAATATGTGCTTAAATTTAAATTCTCTGGCTTCTTTTTGCCTTTTAAACTTAAGGCCACTAGAAAAACTGAAATGACATATGTGACTGGCATTATCATTCTGTTGGTGGTGCTGTTCTAGATTATCCGAGCTCCTGTTTCTCTGACCTCTCTTATTACTCTGTCCCCTGCTCATAAGGCCTCAGTCACTCTGGCCACCGTCTCTTTATTCATCAACTTTGCTCAGCTTCATCTCATCTTAGGTTCTCTGCATTTGCTTTTCCCTCTGCTAGAATATCCTTACTCTGCCTCCTTAACCTTTAAGACGTAACTCCTTAACCTTTAAGACGTAACTCCCGTGCTATCTTGTCACGAGAAGACTTCTATCTATGCAGCTCTTTCCACTCTCCTCCCTTCCAACCTCAATCACTTTCTTCATTTGGTATTTTCCTTGGAGCATGTCCCACAAATTAAATGTTTTATTGATTGATTGTTTTTTCACTACAATATGCTCAAAGGTCAGCAACTTTGTCCTATACTGCTATGTTTCTGGTTCTTTTAATAGTAACTGTTAAGAAGCACATAGCAGGTGTGCAATATAAATATAGCCTGAATGAATAATGAATGCGTGAATAAATATCCTAAAAATTAAATAATCCTCAGCATATGAGAAGAGTTTACTAATTTAAATTATCATAATTATAACCTATCATCCAAACTCCTCTTAAAGGAAAATATTTCAATCTTGCTTTTAAAAATGGGGATAAAACCAGCCAGTTTAGTTACTTTTCCTAAGATAACAGTAACTGGCATCTGTGTTGTAATTTATAATGTATCAAGCTTTTGAACATTCTTGGTTCATTTGATCTTCATAGATACTCTATATGGAAATACAGCAAGTAAGGAAACAGGTTCAGAAGTTTAGACGTTTAAGGAATTTACTCAAGATCATATAAAGAGTAAGAACAGGGCCAGGATTCCAATACGACTCCTAGAACTATAAATCCAAGTGCTATTCCAGCTAAACGACATCACCTTCTTCTGCAAATTAAAGCAGATATTCCTGAGTGCACTTCTGAAAAACTGTAGAATCATATATAAGTGCCAAGCATCAAAAGACTCATTCTTATAACTTCAAGTAACAAATGGCTTTTCAATGAGTCTTTGCATGGGTTATAAGCAGAACTCGTTACAGCTCACTGAACCTTTCTCTGTGCTGCCCCGTCTATATCCATCTTCCAAACCAAAGGCTATCTAGAATATTGCTACAAATTACCATTTTAAACATGCGATGTCCTTTAGTTTACAGTTGCAGATTTCAGTAAAATAGCATCTTCCAATGAAGTCTACTGCTCTGCAGAAGAAAAAAAGTGTAGATATAAGTCAAGTGCACTTTTGTGATTTAGAATGAATTTTGTAGCTCCAAAGAGCTTAAAGAGACTCTAAGGTAGACCAATATTTTATGAATCAATTAATATTTTTAATTAACCATAAACATGACAACTTTCTATTAAAAAATCTTTTGTTTATTGATTCACATTTCTTAGTACATTAAGAACTACAAAGCAAAGGAAGTAATAGGAAAGGTCTGATTTTACTGTATCCTAGACTGTGTGTCTAACCTTTAATAGTTCACCTGAGTCGTCCTTACCACCGCCTTACATCAAAGCTGTTTGTGTGTGTATAGATATTTTCATGCTACTATAGAAGAAAAATCACTAGGCAGTAAATCTTTGCATAGAACCTCTGCAATTATAGGTTCTATGATGCATTGTCTAGTGTGTTTTTAAGTTCTTGTTTGTGCACATACACAAACATACACAATATTAGCCCATGTCTTTTTGCCATAAGTAAGAACATTTGAATCTGGTAAGAGACTGCCCTACAGTCTAAAAGGTATTCGATTCTACTTCACCAACTGCTCTGTGGGAGACCAATGAACAAGTTCCTCCCATCCAATTTACTGTCTCTGAAAACCTGCTGGAGGGTCAGCTAGGGATTGGTTCCAACTGAAGAGTATACAACAACAACAATAGGTTCACTGTAAGTTTGGACAACAATTGTTCATGCATATTTTTACAAATTATCCTTTTACTTAAATTATTTTAATGACGAGCTGAAAAAAAATCATGTATGGGTACATTTATGTTAACTATAGAAAGTATCTATTAGAGAGAAAAATTTTAAAAAATAAATTTTTTTTTAAGAATTGGAAGCAAATACTTAAGACTGATACACCAAAATGGGTAAAAAAATAAAAATTCAACTAACTAAACCTACAACCATTCTCACTTAGTATGCTTAGCACACGGTGACAGGCAAAGACACTTAGATAATTTTTTTTTAAAGAAAGGTTTTATTACATAAGCAAATGCATGAATAGCTAAAACAAGCTTTAAGGGAGACAAGATTTTTGAGAAAAGAATATTCATTCTGATGGACACTATGTTACTCAGAGTGCGAACAGCAAATAATGGTAGAAAACCATGAATGTTTATTAGTGTAAAACTTTCTGGATCAAAAGAAAAACGTGAATGTTCTCTCCTTTTCAATAGTTGGGAAAATCTTGGCCAATTTTACCTGGTGACTAGGTCTCGGACTTGGTCGAGTGAATTACGATTGGGAGGTGGGCGAGGCATAACGCCAGGGAGCCAATTTAAGAGATTCGTGGCCACATGACTGTAATTGAACTAGAAGCATTACATCAGGACTGACCACTTTGGCTAAACCACAGACCTTGTCCAGACAGTCTGCCCACTTAACATACTCCAAAGGGGCTCATCAGACAGTGGGGTGTGGCTGGAACACCAAAATGATAACCTGCCTGCTGACTCCCAGAGGTCCAAGCCAGCCTTTTTTCCCTTTTAGTTAAAAGGTTCCCGTTGCCCGCCATAGCACGACTTACTTGGTAGGAGGGATGTCTGTAGAGAAAAGGTCTATTTCAGTATCAGCCAGCAAAACAGCCTTCATGCCCCTAGAGCTGAGCACTTGTTTACAGAATTTGCAACACAGGATGGACACACACCGGTCCTTGAAACTACAACTGCTGGTTGACATGGTGTCCTTGGAAAGGATGAGGTGTGGAATTTGGCAAAATAGGGGGGAAAAGCAAGAGCTTTCCCTACTTTTGATTCGCTTAGTTTAAAATAAAGTTGCTAGGCCTCGAGGTTGCTTTTTTTTTTTTCCTTTTTAGCCCTGAAATTGGGACGGAAATGAGTTCTTTTGTTTTCCCGGTGGGAGGTTAAAAGTAATATTTATTGAGTAAATAAATATTAGCAGAAGCAGCAAAATTGGCTTTCCTTTTGAACTTTCCGGGAAGGGAGTGGTATGTGAAGAGGGCAGGGGGCAGGCTACAAGCGAGCTCCTTTTATAGCTTCCCCTTTCTCCAGGCTAAGAGGATCCTCTGCTCTACCTCCCGCCCCTTCAGCAATTCCCTAACTTTCGCTGCCACGCTGTCTTATTTAAAGCATCTCCTCTGGGACCTTCCCCAGTCCCAGTAATACGTCCCTCCCTCTGCGGGCTCCCACGCCCTCCCCACTCCTTCTCTTTAAAAATCTTCCCCTTCTTTCGAAGTTGCAGAAAATCTTCTTTTCCACCTGGTTCTCAGTCCCTTCTCTCTTTCTCCCACTCCCCTCTGCGCTCCGCCGACCCTCGCTCTTCTTTCCCGCAGACCCCAGCCCTCAGCGATGCTCCCTCTCGCGCCAGCCGCTCGCGTCCTCCCTTCCCCTCAGCACTCCCTCGTGGCCCTCGTCGATCCCACAGATCTCCCTTGTGCGACAGCTAGAAAGAGCGCGGAGGGTGGTAGTGGAGAGGGGCAAAAGTCGCTCTGGGGGCTTCAGTCCACGCCGTGGTCTCTGCTACCTGACACGCTCTCTCTTCCGCTTTCTCTGCCTCTCTGAACGGCTGTCAGTTTGAATTACCAACGCAGTGCACCGATTGGGAGAACTCGAGCTCTTCTGGATCCTGCATTGGAAGACTTTGAGGCCTTCCCCTGTCGAGATCTTATTGGTGTGGAGATTGCACGTCCCGCCCCAGTAACGGTGCCGAGATCAATCCGGCTCTCTGGTTGGCAAAACTTGGCTCCCCCTCCATCCTCATTGGCTCGTTGTTGGAGGCTTAGGCACACCCCCTAAGTCCCTCCCTCCTGAAAAAAAGACAAGACACGCCCTTCGCTCATCCTACTGGAAGACCTTCTGCATTCCCCACAAGTCTCTACTCTCTATTGGTTAAAATTCTCCGCAACGCCTCTCCTCTTTACCCTTGTCCAATTGGTTGAAGCTTCTCTCAAGAGTTTGCATTTGGTGGTCGATTCCCTTTCAATCCCGCCCACTAATTCTACTTTTGTTGTTGTTGTTGTGTGCCATCAAGTCGATTGTGACTCATAGGGACACTATTTTACTTTACTTCAGGTCCCCAAAACCTGGGGAGGAGTGTATGCTACAACCACGCCTTAATAATGCGAGCCACACCTCCAAGTTTTGCCAGCCCCTCCTCCTCATTACTGGCCTCTCGGGATCAGCTGTTCCTATTGGCTAAAAGCCCCATCGGTCGATAAAAGGCGGGCGGTGATTGGCAAGGGGGTGGGCTCTGCTTCGCGGCGGGGTCCTGCGGAGTTGGCCGCGGCTCCTCTGGGGAGTAGGGGACCGAACTGCGTAGAAGCGGGTGGCGGGGTAGAGAGGGGAGGAGAGATCTGAGTGGGAAGCGGAGCCGCGGGCCTGGGACCCGTCGCGTCAGAGCCAGGTAAAGGCTCCTTCTCTCTCCCCTTTCTTTTTCTCGGCTGGGCTGAAGCCTTGACTGAACAAACTAGGGCAGGGGCGGGAAGGAGAGGGCGCGGATGCTGCTTGCTGCAGCGCCTTGGCGTTGCCATCCGGAATCTCTCAGACCTCCTCCCCTCCAGACCCTTTCCAAATTCCCCAGTAAAGCCCATAATACGTCTCAGGATTGCGTGTCTCTCCACCCTTCCCCGCACATCCTGGCACGCGGCCTTTACTCACATACCGCAGCACAGCCCGCACCCTGCCCCCTCCCCAGGTCCTCTGGACACGGGCAGCCTTCGTCCACCTTTGAGCAACCGTTGTTGGCATCACCCCCTACCCATGAACTTCTTCCGGGCTCCAGTCCCTGACAGACAACTCGAGTCACTTAGAGCCCAAGACCCAGAGGATGGGTGTTCCGCATTGCTTCCGGGGGCCCTCCCCGAAAGTCCTCTTGACCCACTCCCATTTCCAGACCATTCTTGGCCCCCTCAGTTACCAGCATCCTTGAGCTTCATGGAACATCACGGCCCATGATAGTCTCCGAACCTTGCCCCCCATCCCCGAGGTAACCCTCCCTCTTGCCATCTTGCGTCTTCAAAGCGTTGTGTGTGCTCAGTTATTCCTGGGCTCGCATCCAACCTCAGGACCCTCCAGTCCCCCTGCTCCCCCCGTTTCCTGCCCGCTGGAAGCACGCCGCCCCTCTCCCGCTCGTCCTCGCTGCGGCCCTTCCTCCACCCCGGGAAGAGGCTCAGGCTACTACTGCCTTTCACTTCCCGCGGCTGGAGGAAGCCCTGCGAGGGGAAGGGGCGAGAAGGACCGGGGAAGGAGGCAGGGTCGCTCCTGCGGCACGCCGCCTAGCCAGACGCCCAGCCCTGCGCGGAATCTGGGATCCCTCCCGCTTCCCGGGCCATAGCTGGACAGAGAGCTGGGCCGAGATCTCGGACACCTTGTGGGGCGAGGGCACCTGGGGCCCCCAGCGACCCCCAGTCCCCAATACACAACACACACAGCTGGGCCGAGATCTCAGACACCTGGGGCGAGGGCGACAGGGGCCCCCACCGACCCCCCAGCACCCACATCCACACATCCTAGCAATGGGTGCGGTATCTGAGAAGAGCTGGGTTTGAGTGACCAAAAATATTTGGGGACTGGGGAGTGGCATGTAGACTCTCTATCATCACTGGCTGTCTCCCGCCCCTCACCCGCCGGTTTTCCCGGCTCCGACCCTCGCCTGTGACCCGTTTCCTGCTTCTGCCGACCACATTGTTTTCCTGCATGTGTCCCGTGCGGAGCAGGCTTTTTCCTGCAGATCTTCCCCTTGCCTCCCCCCACCCCCAACCTTTGCTGCCAAGAGAAGCTAGTAACCAAAAACAAAACAACTGGGAGGAGGGGCGGGAAGAGAAGAAAAGTTGTGCCCGGGTGGCTCGTCTCTCTCGGCTTTGATTCCCCCTTTGATGTTCTGGGAGGTGCCCTAGTCTAGGGACACGGGCCTTGGTCGAGGCAGGACCAGGAGACCCGGGAGGACTCCCTCGGGCTGGCCGCAACCCAGCCCTGACCAAGGCTCTGAAGGCCAGGCGGCCGCCGGGGTGCCGCAGTCCTTGCCCGGAGCTCCGCGTTCCCGCCGCAGTCCCCACCCCGGAGCCCGCGCAGGCGGCCACCCCAAAGTGCTGTCTTTCAGCCTTAAACCCAAATCCCGGGGGAGCTTCCTTCTTCCCTACCTTGTCCGGCTGGGCTAGGAGGGCCTCGCGGCGTATGACTGAGCCCTCGGGACAACGTCCCCTACCCCACCCCCGCTGCGATTAGGATCTGGGCTTTGGCTCATCAGTCCCCTCCCCCTTCCCCCTTTCCTGCATTTACAGGCAAGTGAACCGGAGCAAAGGACTTCCGATCCAGTCCGCGTTGCTGCGGTGGTGGCTCCCGTTTGGAATTTGATTTGCAGCATCTTCGAGATTGTACAACAACAACAAAAAAAACCCACCCGCGAAGCACGCCCAGCCCTCGCCGGGCGCCCCGATACGCACCCACTCCCTCTCAGGGACCCAGCTGGGCGCGTCCACACCCCCGCAGCCCCCACACCATGCTGTTGTGCGGAAGGACTTCCACTCCCCGCCTGTGTCGTTGATGTCAGACCCCAGGCCAGCCTCCGGGCGCTGCAGTTCTCCCGGCTAATGCTGAGGCTGCGGCTCGAGCTCTCTCTAGCACAGGATCTGCCGCCGCGCCCGGCCCCAGCGCCCACCGGCTGCATGTGCGCGTCTTAGCCGCCTGGCCAGCCTGCAGCCCGCGCTCGCCGGAGCGCTGGAGACCACCGCGGGGGCCCCTGCTGCCCTTGGGAGAATCGCTCTTGGAGGTATTGATTTTGGTGGCTGGATTCTCCCCTTGGATCTATCAATTCACTCTTCGAATTTGGAAGAAAGAAGGAAAACATGACGTCTCCAGCCAAATTCAAAAAAGATAAGGAGATCATAGCAGAGTACGATACTCAGGTCAAAGGTAAGGGTTTTGAAAAATAACATCATGCATATGTCGTGGGGACCCTTGAGGCGTGCATTTCCACCTTGAATTGCAGGGTATTCAGTCTTTGGGTGGAGCAGGTGGGGATATAGGCTGACACCAATGGTGGTTTCTTAGGTGGATCTGACCCACCAGAGGATGGCCAGTGCCACGGGCCATGGGGGATTCAAGGGGTGGGCTCCAGGTTTGTCTCTGAGGGGCTGACTTGGCCTGTATTTTTTTTTTTTTTAAGCAGCCCTTTTCTGAACAGGCTAGCCCATGCAGGGGGGAGGGGCCGAGGAGAAAGAATTTGTCTCAGGATGTCTGCTTCAGGGTACCTTGAAGGACAACTGAGCTCTGACAAGTGTTTAGAATTTATTTCAGAGGCTGATGAGGAATCTAGGCTCAGAAGGACATCCTTGAGAAGGTGGATCATTTGGAGAGCCCTAGGAGATACGGGGATATTTGGGGGTTTTGTCTGGTGTGGTATATCAGAATATATGATTTACTATGATATCAGACTTAGAAAGTTCAAAGCCACCATGGGTACCCAGCATAGCCACCTGGTCCCTGATCGCACAGCGTGCATGCAGACATCACAGAACAGAAAAATAAGGTCACCCACAGACCGTCTCTATCCTCACCTAAATCCGAATAGACTTAGATGTTAAGACTGCTGACAGGGTGGGTGTTGATTCTACAAAATGGGAAGACATAATTGTTTAACCCTTCTGTGTCCTTTGCCCCAGAATTCGTGCTTTGAGAGCCCTCTTTTCCTCCTTGCAAAAAAAATGTGAAGGGTAAAGCGTCTGGAAAGACCATGTGACATGTCTCCACATCTAGCTGATGGCTAGACTTGACATAGGAATCCAGAACCTTTTCCCAGTTAGCCTTTCCCTAACCTGCAGTTCCCTTTGGAAGGACTCTTGCAGGTTAAAGGGCCCTAGCACCTGTTTTGTGCAAGGCACTGCCCCTTCCTGGCCAGTCTCTCAGAAGGAACATGAACCTTCAGTCCATTGAGACCTCAGCTGAGGAGTGGGAGAGGTGGGTGGCCTTGACTGTTACACCACATGGTTGGAGCTCTGGGTTTTCCTTTGTTTCAGAGTACAGAGGCAGGGGCCCCTCCTTCTCTCCCTGCACCAATGCAAGACCTTTTCCAGTCATAGGAGACTTGGGAAGGGTGATGTTACCCTCCTGATGTTTGCTAGGTGTAGGGATAGGTCTAAGGTTGAAAATTGGCAGCTGCCTTTTCTTTTGGAAGGTTGGAAGGTAGTTCGAAGCCCCCATTGTGCCTCAGCTTGGTCAGTATTGGAGGTGCCCTAATGGGCCTTCTATATCCACTTGACTGCAGATATTGGTAGGTTGCTTTCAGACATGGGGAGTTGACTGATTGATAGCTTCAGTTGAACTGGGACTGGGAGGGGTGTGATTGTGAGTTATAATTGAGGTCTTGGCCTCTTGTCACTGTTCATAATCCATGGCTGTTTTTGTAAACAACAGGCCACCGGCCTCCATGTCCTGTCCAGATGCATTGCTATCTGCTCCTGGAATCCCCCCTGTATAATTTTAAGCAGATACATCATTCTCTTTTCACATTCTATTTCTTAACTGTTGTCATAGGGAGCATTAATAACTTTGACTTTCTCAGGTTTCTTTCCAGCAGCATGCCATTTGACTAAGGTGCAAAGTGATTTTTACAGGTTTATTCTTTTGGAAGGTTCAGGTCTGAAAGGTGTTAATAAGACTGTACCTGCTGATTCCTTATTGGTGAAGGATTTCTCATGAATGTCTCAAAATTAAACGCTTGTCCATTTACCAACATTGCTCATTGAGATGATGTAATACAGTTGGCTATTTGGGGTTCCTTTCAACCTTGCCGCAAGTGAGAGACTTGAGACACTGATATTTTTCCATTTGTCACTATTCAGGATTATAGACTCTTACAGAGAGGGCTGAACATAATCTCTTATTCAAAGAAGGTGCCCACTCAGTACTTATGAAATGGATTCAAATAGTCGAATCCCCCATTTTACAGCTAAGGAGAATACAGAGAAATTACGAGGTTTGTCCAAGGTCACACAGCTAGGTGGTGGTAGATCTGAAATGAGAAGCAGGTTTGTCAACTCTCAGTTCTCTGTTCTCGATCTGTACCATGAAAAACACACTCTACGCCAAGTGGGGAGAAAAAGTCTTTAAGAAGCCAAAATCTATCACTGAATAGTAGTAACAATAATAGCTTTCTGGATACTTGTTATGTTCCTGACTGTCCTAGGTACTATAAATGAGCTGTTTTAATTTATTTATTCCTTACACCAGTCCAGGAGGTGGATAATGCCATCCTCAATTTGACATGTTAGGAAACAGAGACTTAGAAGGATGCTAAAACTTTCCCAAGGTCACACAGTTTGATTCCATTCTTTTGTTCTGTAACTAGTTTTTGAGAATATATATCTCCCCCAACAACCCCATGGCCATTGTTTTCAGCTCATGGTGACCCTGATGGCCTCATCAAGTTTCTGAGATTATAAATCTCTACAAAAGCAGAGTACCACATCTTTCTCATGCAGAGCAGGTCACAGGTTAAAACTGCCAACTTTTTGGTTACAGGCTGAGTGCTTTAGCCACAGCATCACAAGAATCCCTCCATTGTGATCTGGAGTCTAGCAATTACAATAGTGAACAGAGTAAATTCCCCACGCTACCCATATTCATAGGCCAGAGCTCTCAAACCTCTGTTGTCCTTGGAAGGGCTCAGAATTGGTGTCAAAGATCTGGATTCTCAGTTGGGTCTGTCCCTCATTAGCTGGACGTCTTTGATCAGAATTATGAGTTTCAGCCTTTTATGGGCTACATAGGACTTGGTGCTACTAGCTTTAGGTTTTTCAGATGCCAGGGTGAAAATTACTGCAAGGTTAAGGGTGCAGATTTTTGAGCCAAATAGATCTAGGATGGAATCCGGTATAAGCAGGCAAGTTAAATGAATCCTGTTTCCTGAGTTATAAAATAGGCAGAATAATACTGCACTGAGAGGAATTGATGAAAGAAAATGGGGACGAGCCAAACCCACTGCTGCCAAGTGGGTTCCAACTCAACGAGGGCCCATGGAACAGAATAGAACTATCCCATGTGGTTTCTGTGGCGGTAAGGGTCCATAGCAGCAGAGAGCTTCATCTCGTGGTGGAGGGACCCCATGGTTCAAACAGCCACCAAGTGCCTAGACCACTGTAGCCTCGAAGCCCCTTCATGAATGAAATAGTACATAAAAAGCTCCTTCTTGAATGCAATAGTGCATATACATTGTGAGGTACAGCATCTAACACCCATAACTACTCAGTAGACAATGATTTTGTTGAGCCTGCCTTCTTGCCCAGTTGGGCTGACCTATAAGGCTACTGTAGTACCTATTCGCAACAAAGCTCCTGGGTATTTAAACGCTAGGGAACGAGTCCAGGAATGAAGATTGACTTCTAATTTAGGTTCAGCTAGTAGCTGCAAAAGGTGCCTTGGGTCAGTCACTTAAGCCATCTGAGCCTCAGTTTTCTTTTCTGTAAAATGAACACAAGAATTGTCTTATCCGTAGATCTTTTGAATGCTCTTGTTCTGTTATGTTTCAAATCAGAGGCCTGGATTCTGCTGTGTAGTCAGAATGGATTGAATTAAATGGACTTTAGGGGACTAGTGGTTTGAATCAAGGTGGATCTTAGGGGACCATTTCCCTCCTGTGGTTTTTGCTTTCTCTGAAACCACCTGCTTGGCCCACGTGAAGGATTTGTGAGGCTGCAGCCCCCACTGCTACCCCAGTGTGGTTTTGTGAGGGGCGTGTCTCCTTAGTCAGCCTGTCCTAGTAGCTGCCTTCTTAAAACCGTCATTGTTTCTGGTTTGTGGGTGTTCAGATTCCTTTGAAAGTTCATGCCTTTCAATGTCTGACCCGAAAGCGTTGAGATTTTTACTGGTTTTACATAGTGCTTTCCACTTTACAAAGTGCTTTCATGTACGATAAATTTGAGACATATTTGATGGTGATGGTTAGATTCATGTCCGGAACCTGAAGCTTCTTGGCCTCCACTCTGGCTTCTTTGGGATTGGAGCCATGGAAGTGGTGGAAAGGTGCTGGGCATGGTTACCAGAGACGAGAATCTGGGAGGTATTTGTGTGAACTGATATTGCTGCATGCATTCAAGTCCCCCTTCCTTTACCCCCTTCATACCTTGAGTTTTTACAGAAAGTTTGAGATTGACAGTTAATGGAAATATTCCAGCAGGAATAGTCTCAAACAGTGGCATTGTAAGTTGAGCAGTTAAATTCTTGAGAACATTAGGGGTCTTGTCTTCCCCCCCACTTTAATTATTTTTTAAATGTCTTAGGAGAGCAGTGTGGGTGCACCACAGAGCTGAAAAGTGAAATTCTGTAATTTCCATCACCAGCGTTTTGCTAGCAAAGGAACAGTCCTCTGCCTTGAGCTCTTTAACCCTTTCAGGACCATTTGAGAGCCTGAGATGAAATTTAAAACTGGAGTAATTTTGTGTGTGTTTGTGCACAGGCACTAGGGAACGCTGATTGCTGGTATTTAAACAAGCTCAATTCCCTGAGGAGTTCCAAGCGCTTCTTCACACATGCCAGCAAAGGTCTTCTCCTGAGAAGCTTCTTTCCTCCCAGCCCCCACTCCCCCCAGGGAGCTTTAAATATAATCAGTTTGTGAAAAGCTGCATTAAAACATTTCCTTGGAATCCCCAAGCAGATGCTATCCTCTTCCTGTGAGGTGACTAAAGGCTTCCTCAGTCTCCCTTTGCTCAGGGAATGTAGCAATTCTGCAGAAAGGTGAACTGCTGGAAGAAAAGTCACACCCTTGGAAAAGTCCATACCCTCTGCATCTCAGGGTAGCTGGAGGAGGTTGGTGGGCAAGGAGCCAGCGGATGCTGTGTGCTGACCAAAGGGGCTGGGTTTGGAAACTGTGTTCACAAGGGGGTCCTTAGCTTTCGCAGGTGAGGAATCGTGCTGCG